GTAAAATGATAGCACTCCCCCTTTAAAGTAAACTTCGCAGCCATTGGTAAGTTCCCGTATACATTGTTTTTCGGAAGCAAATAAGCACCTGTTAATTTGTAACACAATTGGGTTCACTGTAGATAGAAAACAAGTTTTCAACGTGCACCACGCCAAAACTGAAATTGGTACGACCCAGATGGGACTCGAACCCACAATCCCCAGCTCCGGAGGCTGATGCCTTATCCATTAGGCCACTGGGTCACCACAGGCTCACACTTCTCACACCGTCTTCTTACGTGATGGCATCATCGTGACCCCGCCCTGTCTCGTTGTGATCTCGCGCTGGATGGCGGAGGATTCGGAAGCCGAAGCCAGCGGCCGCAGGGCGCCTGCGTACTATGGCCAAGTGCCTCAAAGCTCCAAGTGCGCCTGCGCCGCCGTGCCGGCGCGCCCGCGGAGACGCCAAGGCGCATGCGCGTGATCCTCTGCGCGCAGCGGGGACGGCGTGCCCGCCAAGTGGCCTGTTTGTTGAGTATCCTGTCCGCTTGCTTCTTTGTGGAAGGTTTCCCATCTTAGCTGCACGTTAGGCTGGCTGAAGGGATTTTTCTTAAAAAAATTTTTTTTTTTAGTTATATTTTTGATAGTTTTTACAGAGTTGATTAGGGTGGGAAGGGTTGAGGATTAGGGTGTGGGTGAGACCTTTGTTTCCTAATTTTATTTTTCTTCTTGTATCTTGGGAAAAGCTCTTTTCAGTCCTCCCCCCGCCGCCTCAGTACCCAGGGAGTCCTGCTCACGTGGTTTCGATAGTTCTGACATGCCTCGACCTCACCGCACCAAGGATGAGGAAGTCCCTTCTTGGAGGGCCATCGACTGACATAGTTCACCTTAGAGTCTCCATTTGTCCAGATGGTTGCTGTCAAGTTTGGCTGCGGTAGTTGACCAATTTGTTTTGTCCTTCCTCTGTAGACCCCGATGGACTGCCATACGTGTGCGTCTGGGTATGCCTTACCTGCGGGGACTTCAAGCCAAGTTCTAATGTTTGCCCTGCCCTGGGTTTCTAATCCGTGGACTTGGGCTGGCCAGGGTGCAGGCGGTCCGGGGAGGGCCTCTCCTGGTCCTGCCGGTCCTTCACCGACAATGGGAGCGCCCCATGTCCCGGTCACTGCAGCAGCCACCGGCCTTTGCCCCCACCAGCCTGCTCCCTCAGCATGGATTCAGTAGCCTCTACTTGTGCGGTGCCAGGTGAACTTGGGATCTGAGTTCAAGCCGCTGTTCACTGACTCATGCCTGCTCTCGCACAGGGGGTTAAAACGGACGTAAGTCAGATGTCCCGAAATACCTTGTAGTGCTTTTTGGTTCTGAAGATTCTGGATAAAGACTTTGAGATGCTACGCACACTATTTTTATGCTGTGGGCTGCAAAGGTGCTGCACTTAGGGCTTTTAGAAGGAAACCATTTGTTTTCTTCTTAGCGATGCAATAGTTACGATTTGCAGTGTTGTATAAAATGCAGGCAAGTGGGTCTGGTGTGATAGCATAGCAGTTAAGGTCCTCGCCTTGAACATACCAGGATCCTATATGGGCGCCGGTTCTAATCCCTGCAGCCCCACTTCCCTTCCAGGTCCCTGCTTGTGGCCTGGAAAAGCAGTCAAGGATGGCTCAAAGCTTTGGGACCCTGCACTTGCGTGGGAGACCTGGAAGAGGCTTCAGATTGGTTCAGCTCCGTCCATTGTGGATGCTTGGGGAGTGTGGGCCAAAGTCAGGTGGTTGGCACTCAATCTGGGCTGCTCACGCGGATTACAGAGAATCAAGTATATAAACCATCACCTGCTGCCTCCCGTGTCTGTGTGTGCTGGCAGGAAGCTGGGTTGGAATTACATCCCACATTTTAACCATGCTGATACAGATGGGACGCTGGTGTCACAGCTTCACCCACAGTGCCACAACACTGGGCACCAAGCTGCTTTCTCAGTGGAGATGATGGACTTCCACCGTCTGTATCAGCATGTCAGAACTGTCGAAACCACCGCTGTATATCAGTGACATTGTCCCAGTCTCTCACCTAAACAATTTGAAATGTGGGGCCAGTGTCATGGCTCAATTGCCTAATCCTCCACATGCAGTGCCAGCATCCCATATTGGCACCAGTTTGTGTCCTGGCTGCTCCACTTCCCATCTAGCTCCCTGCTCAGGGGAGGATGGCCCAGTGCCTTGGGACTCTACACCAAAGTGGGAGACACAGAAGAGGCTACTGGCTTCAGATCAGCTCAGCTCCAGCTATTGTGGGCATTTGCGAAGGGAACCAGCAGATGGAAGACCTGTCTCTCCTATGTAGATCTTCCTTTCCAACAAAAATCTTTAAAAAGCAAAGTAAAAACAAAACCTAGTTGCTCCACTTCTGATTCAGCCTTCTGCGCATGCATCCTGAGAAGGCAGTGGGAGATGGCCTGGGTGAGGCTTAGGCTCTTGCCCGCACGCTGTGTGGTTGGGAAATGCTGGGCTAGAATCTGAATGAATATGAAGGATTGAATGAGAAGATTTTCAGAAAGCTCATGAATAATACATATAGGTTTGTTTGTTTGTTTTTGGCTTATTTATTTTTATTGCAAAGTCAGATATACAGAGAGGAAGAAAGACAGAGAGGAAGATCTTCCCTCCGATGAATCACTCCCCAAGCGCCCGCAGCGGCTGGAGCTGAGCTGATCCAAAGGCAGGAGCCAGGAACTTCTTCAAGGTCTCCCATGTGGGTGCAGGGTCCCCAGGCCTTGGGCCGTCCTCGGCTGCTTTCCCAGTCCACAGGCAGCAAGCTGGATGGGAGGTGGGGCTGCTGGCATTAGAACCAGCACGTTCCAGGTGAGGACTTCAGCCACAACGCTATCGTAATAGGTAACTGATTGAGACTGGCACCTTGGGAGCTAAAATAATTCACCGGAACAGCCAAGGAGGGTTAGCAAAGCTGGATTTACGGCTGCCTGGGCAGACTGGACAGCCTGAAGCTGACCATTGCAGCCAGAGACTACAAACCCGGAAGGAAGCTGGCGCTCAGCTGCAATGCCTTAAGAAGTTCAGGCGAGAGTGTTGCAGTGGCTGGACAGGTTTTCCCAATCAGGGATTCTGCTTTTCCTGATGCGGCCGACGGCTGGCCAGCAAGCGTAGGGGATTTCCCAGGCGGGCACTGCCTGAGGTCACAGGCCATAAGCGGCCCTCTGAAGGGGGCCACCTGCCAGCCTGCTCGCTCAGTTCCATCCTTGCATGTACACTTAAGCCTTCCGGAAAATACTGGATGGATCGATCTTGCAACGCCAGGTTGACTTCCTGAGTAGCTCCAGAAGCCTGGCTGGGCCACTGGAAGCCAAGAGCCTGCAATAAATGCCTGATTAAAGTACTGGAGTCATCTCTGCGACCCCCCACGGTGCACCTCAGCAGGAAGCTGGTTTAGAAAAGGAGTAGCAACTAGAAGTCAAGCCAGGAGCTCCACTGTGGGATGGAACGTGGCTGTCCCAGGCAGCCCTGTGATGTCCCATGCCCAACCCACAGTCACTATTTTGAACCCAAAGAAGCTCTGCCCTGCAAGCTGCACACCTTCAGCAGTATCGCTGCAAGCCTCAGAGTAGGGCAGGCTGTGCTCCAGAGCACTGCTGAACTTATTTACAACTTGGTTGTTGTCCAGCAGCACTCCCAGCCCTCTATTCAGAAGTCCGCTTTCCTACCTCGAGCTCGGAAACAAAAGACACAGGCTTCCCAACTGGATGAATCTAGGTCATGTGCCTGGCCCGAACCATTGACTGCAGCCAAGGGAGGCCTGCGCGCAGTGGTTCAGGCTGAATTCCTTCCACATTCTTGCACTGAGGGGGATGGGAATACGCTGCCTGGGAGTTCCGAGCAACTCCCCGAACGAGTCCTGCAAAAGTGAGCAGAGTTCACTGTCTGTGACTATTTATAGTTTTAAAAAAATTAAGTACAATGTCCCTCTAGAACGCAGAAAAAGTGCAGAATGAACAGTGGCTCACAGTCTTGACGTTTATAACCATCCCAATTGTTAAAAAAGAGACGCAAGGAAAACGGCAGACATCTGATTTGGAAATGCATAAAATACAATCGGAGACGTCACTGGGTTTGAAAGTCAGTGCCACCAGGACAGGGCAAGTTTGTCGCGGAATTTGATAAGGGCTGTATGATCAGACCAGTAGAAGACAGGATCCTTCTCTTTGGGAGACACACCCTCAATAATAAAATGTTCAATGGGTAACAGGGCATTTTTGAAATTTCCAAAGGGTTCAAAAATATATTAAGAAATGATTAAAAAAAAAAAACCACCCACACATAGCAAAGTAGCCCATGTTGCATAATGTCCACAGTTGGCAAATCTGGGTGAAGTGTTGTAATTCTTTGAAACTAAAAGGACCCTTGAAACACAATCGTCTGTTACCACGGTGGAGGCTTCTACAGTCTTTTATGACACAATAAAAAGGAAAAAAAAAAAACCCTGAAAATTCCGAGACCAATGTGTTTTCCGTTAGCCAGAAAGTCTTGTCCAGTTAGTTTCTGGAATGTTGTATCAGCAAAACCGGGCAAAAAATTTTTCTTTGGGAAAATTAAAAACATTTTGAATGTCGTAGAGTTTTTTTGTTGTTGTTGTTGTCGTTGTTGTTTTTTACAGTTTTAAAGCATTTTAAGTGTAGGTCAGAGCCTCAAGCTCACAGTGGAGAATCCGTTTTTTCGTTTTTGGTCAGACAGCCCCGCAGACAAACGACAAAACTGCGGAGACGCCGCGCGGCGCAGGCTCGGGCGGGGTTGGCACCGCCCCTCGCGCTGCCTGCCGGGAAATGTAGTCCCTTCCCACTGCTCGGCCCCGCGCTCCTTCATCTCGCGAGATGATGCTCTGCTTAGGCGCTAGGAACCGCCTCCCCCGCAAACGTGTTTTTCAAATCCACCAATGGGTGCCAAGCTTAGGCTCGAACTAGCCAATCGAAATGCGGAATCACCGGGAAATTTAAATCGCGCCGGCCGGCGGCACGAGGCACACCGTCTGTGGGCTGAGCCGTGTTGGACGTTTTTAGGGCACCTGAGCCGCCAGCCTGTGGGCCCACACCGCCTCCTGGGGACGCCTAAGCCGGTCGTGCAGGTACAGTCCGGGGTCAGAGCCCGCACCCAGGCGGTAACGGCTGCCTGCGAGGCCGCACCCGGCTCGTGGGAGGCGGGTGGGGAGGCCGCGGGGACGCGCCGGGCCTGGCTCGGGCCTCCGTCGCTCGGGAGGCCTTCGGGGCGTCGTCCTGGTCGCGGCGCGGAGGCTGTGGAAGCGGCAGCAGCGAACGCCTTGGCGCGCCGCGGCCGGCTGGAGGGGCGGAAGGTTGGGGAAAGGGGCCGAGCGGGGCCGGCGTCCTCCCTGGGGCTGACCGTGGCGGCGGCGGTTGGGAAGTTCGGACGCGTCGGTCCCGGAGTCGCCGTGCCTGTCACGGCGTCCTGGCCCTCGGATGCCGCTAAGCCGCTTCGGGCTCGTTCCCCGGGAAGCTCTGGGAACCGCACACGTGTGAGCGGCGCTCGGGGAGCGGCCTCGGGCTGCAGGTTTTCGGGCTTGACGAGACGCGTCCGCCTGAGGCAGGTTTTTCAATTTTTGAACTTCCCGGTGTGGCGAATGTGCTTGGGTGGGCGAACCTCCGCAGGGTCCGCATGTTCTGCCCCTCCCCGGTACCAGGGTCCCACAGCTGGTCCGAATTGAGGTGACGCCCTCAACTTCAGGATGGGCGAAGATAGCGGTTAATTGACATATTTATTTTGTATGATTACATAGGCATGTTTTGCATGTAATTTTATTGGAGCATATTGAAATTGATTCCCTGGTTCTGTTAACGTGGCCGCGGGGACGTTTTCAGTGTGGCTGGCATTACACTTGGAATGGCTGGCTGCGCTGGGGTGGTGGGACCCGTCCCGCAGCTGGCACTGTATGGGTGCTAACAGATTGGCAGTGCTCAGCCTGGGGCTTCCTTTGACAAAATCATAAACGGGGATTTTCTCTGCCTGTCTTCTAGCGTATTCCTTTTACTTCCTAACCATGTCGACCAATGAGAATGCCAATTCCCCAGCTGCCCGTCTTAACAGATTCAAGAACAAGGGAAAAGACAGTACAGTGAGTACTTCGTTTTTCTGTGGTGGTGCTTGAATAACTTCGGATTATTGACGGGGTTGGGAACTTTGGAAGCTTTTTTTTTTTTTAATGTAACCCAAACTAACAGGTGATGCTTATATGATCTAGGAAATGAGACGGCGCCGAATAGAAGTGAATGTGGAGCTAAGGAAAGCCAAGAAGGATGATCAGATGCTGAAAAGGAGAAACGTCAGCTCTTTTCCAGACGATGCAACTTCTCCGCTGCAGGAAAACCGCAACAATCAAGTGAGTACTCTAGTGGACGGTCCGTGTGGGGCTGTCCTTGCAAGCCCGAGGATTCCTTGTCCTGAGATGTTGACTAGCACACCCGTGATGGTGGCTTGTCTCCCGGTCACTGTGCGTCCTCGCCTTTCCTGCACTTGCTCCCGCGAGGCCCATCTCGAGCCTGGACATGCTGCCTTGTCCTGGCCCTCCCAGTGTTGACTGGCGTGTCCAGAACCAACCACTTTCTGATACATTCTGCCTTTTTGTGGTGATCTATTTTTGTACTTGTTCAAATTTTTTCTTCTGAAATACAGTAGCTTGCTAATTTACTTATCCCTTCACTGTGTTCCACATATTGAAGTTTTTTCCAAAACAGTCATAAAAATACAATGATTTTTTTTGATCAGTAATGAGCTTCAGTGGGATGGGATCTCATGAAGTAATGAAACTTAACAGGAATGCACAGCAGAGAAGAGACCAGAAAAAGGGGGCTTTTAGAAAAAGAACTCTGAGAAATTTGCAGTGAGAGTTTTGGCAGAAGTTTTCCAGCAATCTTGAAAGACTGAGAATGTGGACCCCAACACTTAAAGGTTTCCTGAAAAGGAGAATGTTGGGGACGTGTTAGCTGCTCACAGGCTCATCTATGATGAAAGAAGAAACCACCACAATCCTACACATTCAAAGAGTGACACTTCCAGAGGAGCTGTATGTAGTTCGTCAGAGGGATTCAGGGGATTTGTCCTAGATGACAGCTGCGTTCCTGACATCAGCACCTCGTGATCCAGGAGCCTTGGGCCTGCTTCTGCCAGCTCCCTGCTCGCGCACACCCTGGGGTGCCACAGGTGATGACTGCAGTACCCCGATACCTGCCACCCATATGAGAAACCCTTTGGTCACCCCAGCCGTTGAGTGAACCTAATATTCTTTTTATAGTTTGTTTTTTTAAATTTTTTTATCACAAAGTCACATATACAGAGAGATGGATAGACAGGAAGATCTTCCGTCCGATGATTCACTCCCCAAGTGAGCGCAACGGCTGGGGCTAAGCCAATCTGAAGCCAGGAGCCTCCTCCAGGTCTCCCACATGGGTGCAGGGTCCCAAGGCTTTGGGCCGTCCTCGACTGCTTTCCCAGGCCACAGGCAGAGAGCTGGATGGGAAGTGGGGCTGCTGGGTTTAGAACTGGCACCCATATGGGATCCCGGCACGTTCAAGGCTATTGTACCTGGCCCAGTTCTTTTTTTAAGATTTTTTTTTTTTAATTGGAAAGATGTACAGAGAGGAGAGACAGAAAGACCTTCCATCTGCGAGTTAACTCCCCAGGTGGCTGCAACAGCTGGAGCTGAGCTGATCTGCAGCCAAGAGCTCTTCTGGGGTCTCCATGTGGGTGCAGGGTCCCAAGGCCTTGGACTTTCCTCTGCTGCTTTCCCAGGCCACAAGTAGAGAGGCTGATGGGGAGAGGAGCAGTGGGGTTGGAACTGGCGCCCACGTCCATGTGTGCGAGGCAATGATTTAGCTACTGTGCAATGCCCCAGATCTGGGTCCTCCAGCACATAGTTGTCAAGGACCCAGTTACTTGAGCCGTCATTGCTGCCTCCCAGGGTGCACCTGAAGCTGGCCTGAGAGCCAGGCACTCTGCGGGATGTGGGCATCTGCTGCGTCGGACACTTACCTGGACACACGGCCTTTGGGTCAACATTGCTAGCATTGCTTCTCCAGCTTTTCTGCTGTGACTCCCAGCATACAGCAGATTTAATTTAATAAGGTCTGCCCCAGGAATATATCGCTTACAAGTGAGGGAAGGAGGACTCCAGCACATTGCAGTACAGGTGCAGTGAGAAACTGTTAGCATGTTTTGGTTTGTTCAGTTACCTTTTCTTAGAAAGCAAGTTTGAACTATCTTCATATAAAACATGTAATATCAAAATTATGTCAGTCTGACTTTTAGGTCGTAAACCTAAAATTAACAATGGCAGTATAATTTATTTGTATTTAATCCTAAAATTCCATTTTTCTTTCAGGCCACTGTAAACTGGTCTGTTGATGACATTGTCAAAGGCATAACCAGTAATAATCTGGAAAGCCAGCTGCAAGCTACTCAGGCTGCCAGGTAAGCTTTGTGTGCTATAATGTGGGTAACCGAGAGATCTGTTTGTTTTTATTTATCTTTTTTTTTCTTGGTAGGAAGGGGATAGATAAATGGTATGGATAAGATGAAACTAACCACAGACCTATTTTTTAAAGGCTTAGTTATTGGAAAGGCAGATATACAGAAAGGAAGATCTTCCATTCATTGATTCACTCTCCAAGTGACTGCAGTGGCTGGAGCTGAGCCAATCCAAAGCCAGGAGCCAGGAACATCTTCCAGGTCTCCCACATGAATGCAGGGTCCCAAGGCTTTGGGCTGTGCTCGACTTCTTTCCCAGGCCACAAGCAGGGAGCTGCCAGGATTAAAGAGACAACTTCTGTCACAATGGCATTGGAATATACTGGAAAGAAAAGAAACAGACTATCAGAAAATATATTTGACTTCTCACGAAATCACAAAGGATTAATATTTTTTTGACAGCTTGACAATAAAGAAAATAAATTGCTACAGGCAAGATATATGCCCATTAGAGGAATGCATGTGAACAGTACAGAATCTGTCAGATTGCAGACACTTGTGAAAAGAAGTGGTGTGGTTCCTAGTCGGGCTCTGGGGAGGAGGATGGACTTCGTGGTAACAGTTCCAGGGTGCCTCACCAAGTAGTGATTGTCTTGCCTTAATGTTCTTAACTCTTGAATTCAATCTTTTGAAAATTTTTTTAAATTTGAAGTTATTTATGCGCAGACTTAAGACCTTCAACTTGTGTTTTCCTTGTACCTTCTTAGGAAACTGCTCTCCAGGGAAAAACAGCCCCCAATTGACAACATAATCCGAGCTGGTTTGATTCCCAAGTTCGTGTCCTTCTTGGGCCGAACGGATTGCAACCCTATTCAGTTTGAGTCGGCCTGGGCACTCACTAACATTGCTTCTGGGACCTCGGAACAGACCAAGGCCGTCGTGGATGGAGGGGCTATCCCAGCCTTCATTGCTCTGCTGGCGTCTCCCCATGCTCACATTAGTGAACAGGCTGTGTGGGCTCTAGGAAACATCGCAGGTACTTGGTGGGTTATTTAGACAAATATCTAGTAATGAGGTTGAGAGGGTGACCTTTATTATTGCTAGCAATAGTGGTATAGCTCTGTGTCAAGTTTGAAGCTTGCTGTAGGTTACCAGGGGACATTTTGGGATTCCAGTCACAGGGCATTGGAGTAAGCTTGCCTTTCGCTCTTTTCTTCAGGTGATGGTTCTGTTTTCCGAGACCTGGTTATCAAATACGGTGCGATTGACCCACTGTTGGCTCTTCTGGCTGTTCCTGATATGTCGTCTCTGGCAGTAAGTGAGCAGCACCGCACTCTCACCTCGGTGCCTCAGCAGGAGACCTCGCTCACTGCTCTTTCTTCTCCCTAGTGCGGTTACTTACGGAATCTCACGTGGACGCTTTCAAACCTTTGTCGCAACAAGAATCCGGCACCTCCGTTAGATGCTGTTGAGCAGATTCTTCCTACTTTAGTTCGTCTCCTGCAACATGATGATTCAGAAGTGTTAGCAGATACCTGCTGGGCGATTTCCTACCTTACTGATGGCCCAAATGAGCGGATTGAAATGGTTGTGAAGACGGGAGTTGTGCCCCAGCTAGTGAAGCTTCTAGCTTCTAATGAGTTGCCGATTGTGGTAAGTTGTTAACTGTTAGAACACAAACTACAAAGAACACAAGGTTGATACAGTGAAATGGTGCCTGTTTCGGGGCATCGTGGGCCTTTGAACTGTAAAAATGTTGAAGTGGTGATTGCCGTCATTTTTTCCCGTTTCAGACTCCAGCCCTGAGAGCCATAGGGAACATTGTCACGGGGACGGACGAACAGACGCAGGTGGTGATCGATGCAGGAGCGCTTGCCGTCTTTCCCAGCCTGTTGACCAACCCCAAAACGAACATTCAGAAGGAGGCCACGTGGACGATGTCGAACATCACAGCTGGGCGGCAGGACCAGATACAGCAGGTTGTGAATCATGGGTTAGTCCCATTCCTCGTCGGTGTTCTCTCGAAGGTAATGAAGCCTCCGGATTTAATCAGATGGTTGTGTTTATAGGCAAACTTGATGAGTTTCCAAAAGTACATTGTTGGATATTAATGTTTATTATAACTAGTAGTCAATAACCCCTTTTGTTTAAGAATAAGCCACAACCGGTTTCTGTAATATGGAACTTTTGGAATCTCATTTGTATAACTGTTCTGAAATGAACCATCTTTTTTAATAGGCAGACTTTAAAACACAAAAGGAAGCTGTCTGGGCTGTAACCAACTACACCAGTGGCGGGACAGTAGAGCAGATTGTATACCTTGTTCGTTGCGGTATCATAGAACCATTGATGAACCTTTTAACTGCGAAAGATACCAAAATCATTTTGGTTATTCTGGATGCCATTTCAAATATCTTTCAGGTAAGTTCTAACCTGATGGCATTTATTTGACTTTGGACTAATTGACATGAACTAAAAGTACTCATTAGTAGTAAAAAAAAAAAAAAAAAAAAAAACACACCAAAAACTGCCAGTCTTTGTCCTCTCCTAATGAAGAGGCAGAGAAAGAAAGATCCCCTGCACTCATTCATTCATTCCTCATACACCCATGTCAGGGTCTGGCAGTGCCTTTCAGGTCTTACTTAAATGACATTTTTCTTGTTCTACTTGTGATTTATTTAACACTGTCAGTATGTGGCATTTTGCTTTAGTGATTGATACTCCTGATGATGTTTTTGGAAATTCACACAGAGAAGTTGGCCAATTCTGGTTGCCCTCTGTATTGAATTTTTAAAAACATAAAGTAGATCGTTAGGATTGTTGAAGGGACTGTTGATGCACATTTCTGATATGTACCAGTGCTCAAATGTGGATGCTTCATTGATGTGGAGCCTTCAGAATACAGGCCAGTAAACTGGACTTTTTTTTCCGATTAGGCTGCTGAGAAATTAGGTGAAACTGAGAAACTAAGTATAATGATTGAAGAATGTGGAGGCTTGGACAAAATTGAAGCTCTTCAAAACCATGAAAATGAGTCTGTGTACAGGGCTTCATTAAACTTGATTGAGAAATATTTCTCTGTAGAGGTGAGTGATGATACTGTTAATGACAACTTGGAGGATAACCTCTTTGTACTTATTAAAATGAGCTCTGTGTTTTTTAAGTATAGATTTTGAGAGAGTTCCTTCATTGGTTAAAATGCCCACAGTGGCTGAGTCTAGGGGCTCTTACCAGGTCTCCTGGCGGACATGGTGACACAGACTGAAGAACTCGAGCCAGGATGTGTATTAACAGGGAGCTGGAGTCAGGAGTTAATGAGCCCAAACTTAACTGCCTCAGTATCCTTGTAAATATTGCAGAGTGTGTGCTTGCTTAGGGCTTGGCACGTTTGCCCATTCAGTCTTTGGGTTAATGATGATTTAGCCTGAGAATTTGACAGTCTTAGAATGTCTTAGAATTGTTGTTCCAGGGGTTCCTGGAGATGTGGGCAAACCCTGTGACCTTACGGTGGGTCTGTCCTTTCTACTGAAAATTGCCAGGTGGAGAAAAAAGTCTCCCCTATCGCCATGGTGGGTTTGTTTGACCGAGTTGGAACCCAGGCGTTCACGAATTGGCCAAGTTTCAACAACCCTTTTCTCTTCGTGTGTCAGAATACAATTTCAGGGTTAAAGGTGGGCTGTTGCTTGGGAATGCGCCATACTTATGGGGTCACTGCTTTTTAACGTTTCAGGAAGAGGAAGATCAAAATGTCATGCCAGAAGCTACCTCTGAAGGTTACACCTTCCAGGTGCAGGGCGGGACGCCGGGCACCTTCAACTTCTAGTTGTGCAGCTGAGACAGATGTTGTTTTGTTGTGCACTGTTTGGTAAAAGTTTGTCTTACTGTTTCTCTACTAAGACCTCTTTTTTAAATGTGGTTTGTTACTGTAGCACTTTTACAACAAAACTATACTTGAACAGTTCCAAACTGTACATACTGTATGAAGCTTGTCTTCTGAATGAGTTTCTTATTTCTGTGGAATTTCCTATCTTACAGTGTCCTGTAAATAAAGATTCAATTCCACCCCTTTCCTCTCCTTGTATCTTTTCTAATTCGTTGCTTTTTTTTTTAATTAATTTATTTTTATTGAACAGTTTTAGCTGTTGGAGGCATTTGGGGAGTAAGCCGGTAGTTGGTAGCTTTCTCTCTCTGCTTCTTAAATAAATCAACTCAATTTTAAAATCTCAAAGGCACTTTTTTTTCCCTGTAGAAGTTAACTAGGGACCAGTGCAATCACTCAACTTGCTAATCCTCCACTGCCAAGGGCTCACATCCCACATGGGCACAAACTTATTTGGAGAGTGAACCAGCAAGTGGAAGCTTTCTCTGTCTCTCCTTCTTGCTGTAAATCTGCCTTTGAGATAAAAGATGTATCTTTTATTTATTGGAAAGTCATATATACAGAGAGGAGGCGAAAAAGAGAGGAAGATGTTCCGTCTGATGGTTCACTCAAGCGGTCTCAATGGCTGGAGCAGAGCCGTTCTGAAGCCAGGAGCCTGGAGCCTCCTCTGGGTCGTCCACACAGCTGCAGGGTTCCAAGGCTTTGGGCTGTCCCAGGCCACAAGCAGGGAGCTGGATGGGAAGTTGGGCTTCCAGGAATAGAACTGGTGCCCAGATGGGATCCTGGTGCGCTCATGGTGCTATCGCGCCTGGCCCAATACGGTGCTCCTAATGTTGCCAAAGAAGGGTGAGCCAGTTGGCTGGGCGCAGTGGGGCTAGGCCTGCTCGTAGCTGTTACTCAGTTTGTAATGCTGGCAAGGCTGCTTTTTCTCCTTGCTGACTGAGTCTCCTGGGCTTTGTTCTGAGCTGTTCCCCTCATGGTACTTACAGATCTGACATCCTCTTCACTAGCTTCACAGAACAATGAACACAGCCAATATTTGTAGTCTCACCGGTCAGGGAGATCAAAGTGTCTAGTCTTCTGGAGCTACAAGTGGAAGTCATTTCTCCCAGACTTGTCCAAGTGAAACCTGGCACCTCTGGTATCGCAGAAGTTCTGGCTCTTTGAGGGAGAGAGAATTTTCTGTTTGTATCTAATTCCCCTGAGCTTCTGTGCACTGGGGTTGAGGGCCACGGCTCTCGGGGAGCTGCACTCCCTGGAGGATGGGGACTGGTTTCTGAGATCCTACAGAACAACTGCAGAACGGAGTGACAAGCCCGGCCTCCACTGCCGGAGACTGACGCCTTGGCCTGGTTTCGCCATACAAGAGTAAAAGCTGGGCCCTGCGTGGAGGCCTAGTGGCTAAGTCCTCACCTTGAGTCCACCGGGATCCCATATGGGCACTGGTTCTAATCCTGGCCGCCCCACTAACCATCCAGCTCCCTGCTTGTGGCCTGGGAAAGCAGTAGAGGATGGCCCAAGGCCTTCGGACCTACACCCGCCTGGGAGAACTGGAGAAAGTTCCAGACTCCTGGCTTTGAATCTGTGCAGATCCAGCTGTTGTGGCCACTTGAGGAGTGAATCACTGGCTGAAAGATCTTTCTCTTTGTCTCTCCTCTCTGTATATCTGAGTTTCCAATTAAATATTTAAAAAGTAAAAGCTGTGAAGGTGGAGGGAGGAACGAAGGCTTAAGACTAAAGGTCAAAGTGGCTCCTGACCTTTAGGGGCTACTGTGTTGAAGGCATTTTTTCCAAGTCCCTTGTAGTAGAGCAAATCCCTACTTCCCAGGTGTTAGGTATTGCCGTTTTAGAACAGGGTTTTCCAGTTAACGCCATGGAGCTTACTGCCCACACCTGAGAACTCCCACAGTCCTGCTTGGTGAGGCGGCCCCGACGCAGAGGGGAGCGAGGCCTGGCTGACCGCCCTCTGCTCCCCACTCGCTCCCCCAGCGTGGGTGCTGGATCCAGACGTCTTCAACTGCATGTAAGTAAACCTTGCTCCCTTCGCTTTTGCTTTCAGGCGAGCCGAGTTACCTGTTGATAACAGTGTGAGGGCTGTGTTCATGACGCAAAGCTGAAGTCATGGGTGACTGGTTTCCAACAATACACGCTCTAGATTTCTTAACGTGCTCATTTCCTTGGCCAAGTCGGAAGCCATGGAGGCCTTTGCACTTTCCATTTATTTGAGTAAAATTGGACATCTTTGAAAATGGCCTTGGTCTTTGTGCTTCTTTAGTTATCTGAAAGGCAGAGTTTCAGATAGTTTATTCAACTGCTGGTTCACTCCACAGGTGGTTGCCAGGGCTGGGCCAGGCTGGAGCTCTGTCTGGTCTCCCACATGGGTGCCGGGGCCCAAGCTGTTGGGCACCCCTCTGCTGCTCACCCAGGCACACTCGCAGGGAGCCAGCTTGATTTTAGAAAGTCAAGACAAAATGGCCAGTCTCAATTAGTGATTTATTAATGCAGTCAATATTGAACATCCTAGCAATTTTTTGTCTCAAGGTTTTATATAATTTTGCATGCAACTTTTAAAAAATTTTTATTTTAATTGGGAAGTCAGCTATACAGAGAGGAGGAGACACAGAGGAGAATCTTGCGTCTGTTGAGTCACCAAGTGGCTGCAACAGCCGGAGCTGTGCCAATCCAAAGCTAGGAGCCTGAAACTGCTTCTGGGTCTCCCATGTGGGTGCAGGGTCCCAAAGCTTTGTGCTGTCCTCGACTGCTTTCCCAGGCCACAAACAGAGCTGGATGGGAAGCAGGGCCCCTGGGATTTGAACCAGTGCCCATAGGGATCGTGGCACCTGCAAAGCGAGGAATTTAGCCACTAGCCTGCCGCGCTGAGCCCAGCTTTCATTTTTTTTTTAAAGATTTATTTTTATTATTTTTTTTATTGGAAAGGCGGATATACAGAGAGGAGAGACAGAGAGGAAGATCTTCCGTCCAATGATTCACTCCCCAAGTGAGCACAATGGCCTATGCTATGCCAATCAAAGCCAGGAGCCTCTTTCGGGTGTTCCACATGGGTGTAGGGTCCCAAAGCTTTGGGCTGTCCTCGACTGCCTTCCCGGGCCACAGGCAGGGAGCTGGAAGGGAAGCGGGGCTGCCGGGATAGAACCGGCGCCCATATGGGATCCCATGCGTGCAAGGCGAGGACCTTAACCACTGCGCCACCGCGCCGGGCCCGGCTTTCATTTTTATTTTGTGAAATGGGAAGGTAACGCTTCAAATTTCATGAGGCAGTTATCACAGTACATCGACCAACAGTTTGCTTCTCATCCTTTTAAAGGGAACGCTCCTTAAAAGCTTAAACGTTGGTGTTCAGCATTTCACAAAAATTCCAATTCTTGCATCTTGGCGTAGTATTCTCTAGCTACCCCCGACCACTTTTCCAACCAAGTGAAATTAGCGTTCTTTCTGAGGCTGCATCACCACTGGAAGAAAAAACGAAATCACTGGGATTGTTGGCTCAAGGGCTAGGCGCCTGAAATTTCTGCCTTTGTGGAGGGGGAGGGAAGTGGGGCTTCACAGAACCAAGTCTGTGGAAAGCAAACGTGTGTTCACCGGCGTGCTGGGTTCCTCTCTGTGCCACCAGTGGCAGGAAGAGCAAATGTGGAGCTGTGTTCGGGCGGTTTGGAGGACAGTGCGGTACCAGATTCCAGCCCCTTCCGTGCCTCCCTCCCCCTTGCTGCAGCATTCCAAAACCATCTGACTGATTCTGGAAAGCTCTTGAAACATGTAGTTAATGGTGCTTTTTTAGGAGTTGGGGGTATGGTGAAATCATTCTGGGCCTCTGCCTCCCCACGCCCCCAGGGGAATGGGGCCAGGCCGTGTGTGTGTGTGTGTGTGTGTGTGTGTGTGTGTGTGTGTGTGTGTGTGTGTGTGTGTGTGTGTGTGTGTGTGTGTGTGTGTGTGTGTGTGTGTGTGTGTGTGTGTGTGTGTGTGTGTGTGTTTCTTGTAGTCAACCCTGGCTAATAAAGATGATAAGAAACACCCAAGCTGTCAGGCAGGGTTTTCTGAAAGAAGTACCATTTCATTTTGGGCATTTGTGTGATACTGGCATGCTGTTGGCAGAGCTGGAAAGCCGTGATTCTGATGTCTCAATGCTCAGTTCCTCTTAAATAGTTTCACAGCACTGTGTAGGAGGCGGGAGCACCGAACCCTCAAACTGACGGCACCCACCTTCTTCCCTACTTGACCACCAGTTCCAGGAGGGGCTGGCAACTGGGAGCCAGTCTGCCTCCTCACAGGTCCATGCGCGGCCACCGGGAGGTAAATGCAGACAGTCCTGAACAAAACTCAGAGCCCAAGCCCAACCCGTGTCTCCCCGAGAGTTCCAAGTACTTGAGCCGACATCTGCTGCCTCCCCATGTGTGTTAGCAGGACGCTGGATCGGAGGCAGAGCCAGGATTTGAACCAGGCACTCCCAGCATGGCATGTGCTTGCCCCAAGTGGCATCCTGACCAACTGCCAACATGGTTTTACCAGCAAAGTGTCATTCATTTTCTCCTTTGACTCTGTTTTGATACATTTTGACTACCAGGCTGAGTGTATTGCCACTCCCAGTCAGGAATTGTTTGTGATTTTGTATGGAAAGATAGGATCCTATCCAAAAGTTGGTTGTGCGGCTGGACATTGCTGACTGGCAGGTGGTCCTTCCAGGCTCGCCAGGGAGTGCAGAGACCAGCCTTGTGTCTGTGACAGCTGTCCCAGGGAGAACTTTCTAGAATTTTGGGCAGTTTCCCTTTCTCTTCATTCTGCTGCCTGGAAGGATTGGACCACTTCCTCATGCACTCACTGGCCATGAGAACAGTCACGAGGGCCTTGCAGGTGCGTGCTGGTGATGTTGCCAGGGAAGCTTGTCTCAATGGCAGGTCCTTTTTGCTTTTAATCTTTTTTTTAAGATTTATTTTATTTTATTTTACATTTATTGGAAAGGCGGATACACAGAGAGGAGAGACAGAGAGGAAGATCTTCCGTCCGATGATTCACTCCCCAAGTGAGTGCAATGGTCGATGCTATGCCGATCCAAAGTCAGGAGCCTCTTGCGGGTCTCCCACATGGGTGCAGGGTCCCAAAGCTTTGGGCCATCCTGGACTGCCTTCCCGGGCCACAGGCAGGGAGCTGGAAGGGAAGCGGGGCTGCTGGGATTA